TGGCCTATCTGTTCCATTCGGTTTATAGTAACTAATTGTTTCTTGAAAGAAGCCAAGGTATCAGCCTCACAAAGATGGGGTAGCTTGTTACAAGCTCCCACAATCCACTGTGTTAAGATATGCCTTGTCTTCTCAGTTTAAATGCACTTCCATTTAGTTTCAGCATGTGCTGTCTGATTCTTATTTCACTTTTCATTCTGAAGAAGTGTGCTGGGTTGACTTTGATCATGCCTTTGAGGATGTTTAATACTGTACTTGTATCTGGTTCAGTGTTCAAGACGAAAAGGTTTATTTTCTTCTGCCTGTAAGTGTAAGACATTCTATTTAGGCCCAGGATGTACAGTATTTGGTTGTTCTTTTCTGGACTGATTCCAGAGCAGCAATGCCTTTTCTAAACCTTGGTGACAAAAAATGCACACAATATTCCAAAGGAGGCCTTTTTACTGCATTGTAAACTTTTAAGTATATACTGTCTCCAAGGCTTGTGTGTGCTATTTAACTGCTTCCCCACATTGTTTAGATGTAAATGATGGTATCAGAATAACCACCAGTGTTTTGTAAGCTCTCTTCCTGTTCATCATTTCCTATTTTGCTTTTATACTTTAGGTTTTTAATACCTGCATGCAATACCCTGTACTATCTCTGGAGAAAATTGTCAGGCGTTTGTGCAGTAATGAATTTTATCCAATCTGTTGCATCTACAGTGTTTGCTAATCCTCCTAATTTGGCATTACCACTAAACGTGACTACCTTAGTAACTGTATAAGAATCTAAATCACTTGTTAATTAAGACCAGCAGTGGTCCTAGTATGCTGGTCCTAGTACAGATCCCTGCAGTACTCCACTAACTACAGAACCCCAATGTATTTATCTCTTATCTGTCTCCTGTTTTGCATGCAATAGCTAATTCACATTTCAAATACTCACATTTCTGTGAAATCTCCTGCAATTTAAGAATTGATCTTTTATGAAGAACTATAACTGAAAATCTAAATATGACATGATTACAGCTAACAATTTGGTTAGGCAAGAACCAGCTTTTGTAAATCAATGTTGACTTCTCCCTAGTATGTTATAACCTGTAGTTTAGATCTTACAATTGTTTGCATTACATTGGATGCAATAGAAGTCATTAAAGTGGTCTATATTACCATTACTTGATTCCATTTTCTCAGCTTTTCTATGGCTGGGCATTAAATTAGCTATTTTTGAGACAGTAGGACCTACAGTATATGTCTGTTCAAAGTGTTCCCTCATTTGTAATATGTTCTCACATGACCAAAAAGCATCCAGAAATATTTCTATAGTACTGCCATCTTCATACTACATTCCCCTGGACTTCACCATTTTAATTCACGTTGTAATAAGATTTGTCCAATCTTTTGCTTAGTTCCAATATTCAGGGCCACACAAGAGCACAGTTGTCGTTAAAGCTGTGTAGATATTGATTTCCAGTTCAATGGATTAATCAGTCCTCTCATTCTTCCAACTTAAATCCATTTCTTTTACATGGAGGATGTTCCCAATTCCATTTTCTAGAATTTAAGATAGTTGATCTGTGTCTGCTGTGGTGATAACTGATGCTTTGAGAAAAAGCGCTATAAGTGTAAGGAATTGATTAATCATGCAGGTAGTTTTGTGTTGCTAGCATGTAAAATTACCAAAGATAATATTTGTGGCCATTAGTTCCAGTGTTTTAACTATCTCAAAAGACTCCATAAAGTATATATTCAGGGTACTAAAAACAAATGTGGCAGGGCCCCTAAGTAAAAACAAAAGTTACCTGGAGAGGCTTTATAATAGAAAAAAAAAGTTACAATAGTGGAGTGACTCTCTATTGGATGTTGTATTATATTAGATGCAAGTACTTTCATAAAAAAAACTGAAACAGTATGATGTTTAAAGAATTTATTGGTCCAGCAACTGCAAAATATACAAATTTCTGAAAGGCATACCCTGTTTCTCTCAACACAGTCACTTCCTTTCATCACAAGCATACCTCAGACAATTAAGAGTACACACAACAGGATTGATGCCACAACTACGTACTGCAGGTCTCCAAAAAAAAGTTTAGATACAAATAAATAAGTCTAACTGCTCAAAACCTAAAAATATTCAAGTATAAGAAGCAAACAAAAGTCACCTGACTGCATGTAGCCGATTTTTGTTCTGTTTAGGCAGTTTAATGAAGGAAACAGATCTATTACCATTAGATTAACACTGTAATGCAATTTGCTCTACTTAAAGAATGCTTCAAGAATTCAGTAGCCTCAGAGCTGTCCGTAGTGCATTCGTAATGAAACCTGCTTATAAAAATAAAGCTGGAACTTTTCACTTGCTTGAAATTAAATAACATTTCTACACTCATGTTCAAATATTAAGTAGCTTTCCCTCCAATAATTTCCCTCCTAAAAGGGTAAGTTTGATTAGAAGTTACACTGCAGATTTCTGTAAAAAGGGATGGTAAGTACATCATTAAAATGATGAGCACCATCTTACATCTATAAAATAAGCAGCATTGGTAAATAAACTGGTAAAGAATCAGGTACATACCTAAGCTAACAAAAAATAATCACAAGTTCTACAAAAAAAAAACTAAAATGATACATAAAAATAAGAACAGAAGAGTAGCAAGTGCAACACTTAACGAGCTAAGGGCCAAGATTCTAATTTCCAGCCCTTTAATCGTGCAACTTCATTAATAAAGCAGTGTTCACTGTGCAAGTCACGCACTAGGCACTGTGGTTAACCTCTTTCAAACCTATCCACTTGACAGCGTACGGCATCACTAAGGACATTATAATTTACAATTCCGAGAAGAAAATACTTAATTTTCCCAGATATATCCCTTACAAAACTCAACCATCGATTCCAGTCACACAACAATATTGCTTAATATTTCTTGGAAGAAGAAAAACAAAAAATCGCAGCACGTACACCAACAGACCCAATTTATAAAGTGAAGTAACATACAGAGCTCATCATTCTGACATGCTTTAAAAATACATTTAAAAATGTCCCAAAAACAATCAAGAAAAATGGTCAAAATAAATTAAGGTTTGAAAATAAAAAGGGGCTACTTCAGTCAAGCCATCATTTCCAGTTATAAGCTGGTTAGTACCCTGCCGCTGAGCTCCATAGGATCTCCATCATTTTATCTCAATAAAGACTCTGTGGTGCTTAATACCAGCTGGCACACAGAGACAGCCCAAAACCACATTACAAAAATAAAAAATAAGAAAATAAAGACTTAAATATAAAAACTTTGTAATACAATGGAAATATCTACAAATGTTTTACATTCCTCGTCATCCCATTATTAGCTTTGGAAAAAGGATGCCTAGAACCAAATTAAATGAAGGCTCCGAGACAATGCCGGCTCTTGGCCATAGCTTCCTCTTTGCCAGAAAGGTCTGGTTTCTTACCCAGTGGAAAACTGTCACCGAGCTACAATGTGCAGGTGGTCTGAAGTTTTTGACTTAATCCAGGTCCTAGCTTTAATGCTTGCTTGGTACAGACAAACAAAAATTTGGTTACAGTGGACTAAAGCTGTAAACATTTACATGTCATTTTGGGTATAAGCCTGTCCTGACCCATGTGACTGAAACCCCAATTATAAAATAAGCAGAGCTCAACTCACGTCAAGACAAATTATACATTCCAAGCTGTAGTAGAGGAACAATTGGTATTTGATACATGGTCTATATTTTTTTTTTATTAACGTTTCTAGGATGTGATAGCATTTTTTCGCAATAGTGCATTCTTATCCAGCACAATAAGTCCCAAAAACAAGTTTGGAGCTACACTGAAGGTGCATTTTGGTTAAAGTTTAGTTTGTAAAAGTGCAGTCATGTAGATTGTGGTGGTGGTAGGGGAAAAGGTCTTCAGTTTTTATTAAAAACTTTCTCTTCATCTAATAACAATGACAGTTTTAAGACTGCCAGAGCAACTTTCTCCAACCTAACAGGCTACAATTACAATACATACTGTATTTGATGGGTACTAGGACATAATGTTTCTTTTATGTAGAGCAAAATCAGCATTTTCTTTCAACATCATTGTAAACTCAGGCTAAAGCCTTTACTGAACCACAGTTGTAAAACAAAGGAACAAGATTTCTCCCTTCTTGTTTCTCAGTTCTACAAACGTTAATATAAATAGGTTTATTGAACCATCATCTTTCACTTGAACTGTACACACACACACACTATTTACAGGTACCAAGAAAAATGTCAGAAACCAGATATTTCCTTATTTGCCAAACCATTTTCCAAACATTTACAAATTATGCTGGCAAGACATTCATTTACATAGTTATGAAAACGATCAAATCAATATTAGTTACCGAGCCTAGAGCAGTTCGTTTCAGTTCAGATGACGAGAATGAACAAAAACAAAGGAAGAAGTCGACATCCATTTTAGACAGGTCACGGTCATTTTTCTGATCAATATCCAAAATGCAGGTGGAGTGGCAGTTTTGAGATTCACTGGCAATCTTCTAAGACATCGTGCAGTCCCGAAGTTTTCCTTTTTATGTTCTGTTGAGGAGGGGAAAAAAATGTTTTAATAACAAAGTCCTTTGTCTGAACTGCAGTAGAAAAGCTATATAACATGCAGATGAAAACAGTGCTCAGATCAAGGCATAAGCAAGATCTATACACAAACTAGCAGAGCAAAAGCAATTCTGAATGCAACCATTAAAGCTTTTCTACCAAAGCCCTGCATTATTTCAAGGCCCCGACTTTCAACTGTTACGTGTCTGTAACACTGACTCTATGGAATTAAATGAACGAAAGTCCCTGGAAAACTGGTTACTCATAAACCAAGCAGGAATAGTACCAAAAAAGTCTGTAACCTCTTAAAATAAATCTGCAAAAAAATGCTACAAAACGTCACTGATAGCTCTGGAACTGTTGTTTTCCATCTCTTCAGCCACGTATTTTGTATTTTAAAAGCCTTTTCCATTTGATTCCAAGTTTCATATAGGAACAGAAACTTAGAATATACTATTTTTCTTTTTGAAACCAGAAAATCTGCACTGTGCCCCATGGTAGAAGCCAATTCAGAATACAAAACTCCTGTATAATGGTTGTGTGGGTTTCATTTAATGATTCCCTTTATATGTTTATTGTGCTCGAATACTTCCTCCACCCCCAGACTCACGATCTAAAGCAATTGCACATGTGAAATTTACTGAAAAAGAACTTTTATAATGTAAATCAAGATTTTAGGAGAAAAGTTGTTAATCCCGATAGAAAAAGATCTTTATGCAGTGTTACCATCTTCAGAAAACAAGAGAAAATACTGCTTAACTGCTTGGCTAAATGAATTTCATTTGCTAAACTACTCTACAAGGTCACTTTTAAGATCAAGATTCAGCCAACAAGCCTTTTACCTTTGAAACACTAGCAAGGAGATAACTTTGAGATAATGGAAAACTGTTCGTCTTTAAGCAGAAAAAGAAAAAGAGAAGGAAAATCATGAGTGAAAAAGGTCAGTGTGTATTAAGCAGGCAAACCTGACATTGCAGCTGTTATGAACATGCAGACAACTTTAACAAGGAAGAGGGCAAGTATGCACAAAATTGTGTAATTATGTTCTGAACAACTCCCAATAGGTTTCACACATTCAGTTTTAAAAAGACTCCTTGAAGGGTTATAAAACTGATGTATTTGCATACAAAAGAAATCCATGATTTTCTAAATAAACGGCTGTATTTGGGGGAGGGGGAAGAAAACAGTCTCTGCTTCAGTTGCCCAATGATGTTTTGTCTTATTTTTCCATTGCAACAGTATTGAAGTTACTACTGTGCATTTGCCCACAAGATGGCTGTAAAACAATCTTCCCAACTTCTCCCCCTGGAACTCATATTACCTATAAATAAATGACTATACTAGGGAGACAGACTGTGAAAGAGCCACTTTACCACTGAAAGCAGGGAGTTGCAACAAGTAGTTAGTTAGTAAGGTCCAATTTCAGCACGCAGGCTATAAAGCACATGGAAGAAAGCTTTGTAGCCAAAACCCATAGGCAGGTACTGTAAAACAGGTCTTTCTTTACACTGAATATTAAGCTGGATATGTTACAGACATGCAAGGATTGATTATAGAATAATAACATAAAAGGAAATGTAAACTATTTTGTATAGCAGATTTACAAACAGGTGGTTGCCGCTATACACCAAGACCTTTTTAATACAATTTGGAAATGTTGAAAAGTGCTTTATTTAAATGGAGCAACACCAATGATGGGTTGGTGGCAGTTTGATTGCTGCTCCATCCGACTCCAAATCCCTCCCTATTAGTCCCTCACTATGTGTTCGTGTCATTGCTGTGTGGATCAGAGGGTCCGATGAGAACAATGCTTTCATTTCAGTGTCCTGTGGTCGCAAGGTCCTGCCAGACTGGAACTCTGGGGTCAGTATAGGAAATGCTAATCACCACAGTAAAAAAAGAAAGAAGCAGTACTTACAGACAAGCTTTGCCAAGCCAATGCTGCAAAACGAAAAGAAGAATTTGAAAGTGTTACTTAAAGGCAAGAAGTTACAGGCAAAACAGGATTCTTCAAGCAGTGGGCAGAAAAAGGCTTTAAAAGGATAACAAAGTAACCTGTAGAAGACTGAACCAGATGTTACTTAAGCCTTGAAGAAGCAGCTCTGTGCAGAACAATGCTTCCAGAACCTTTTTTAAAATGGCAGACCATAGGCACATTTACAATGTAACAAACATTTTCAGTGTGCAGGACCTAAAAATAAAAATGAACCTACTGAGTGCCAAATCAACACTTAAAATGTGTCATTTTCCACAGAAGCTTTGGTTTAGCCGATGTACAATCCACGGTTTTTATGCACCGTTTCACAGGTTCAAACAATTACTGTACGTGAAGGCCTGTTGGATCGCACTTGAGGTAAAAGCCTAAATTTGTTTAAAAGAAGTCAAATGTGTAGAAAACAACCACAGATAGGAAGAGAAGAGTGAACTAACTTGTCCAGGTAGAGAAGTGGGAATTTCAGAAGCTGCGCACACTGGCAGAGCTGCAGACGAGGTCGATGGCATGTGATCATCTAGGCTCTTAATTCGGGGTTTTTTAGTAGGCTCGGGACTTGCCAGCGGGGTGACACTGTTTCTCCTGATGAGCGTGCTGGGGCCCTTCCTTACATCCTGCTCAAAGCAAGGAGAAGACGAGGTCAGCAGAGCAGAGAAAGTCACAGCAAGCAAAGCTCCCTGTTGCCCCTGATCTAGCTAAATAAGATTAACAAATCACGCTCTAGAACTGCATTTTAACATTAGCAATGAAGTATGGTCATATAATGCATGGTGTAACTATACAAACTCAGCTAGACTCACTTTGCCATAATTACTGAATTTAGGTTGTTGCTTAACCACAAACAGCAAAGGGGGAAAAGGGCCAGCAAAGCAGTATCCTGCTGGTGTTAGCATAGCCATGGCTCCAACAGCAAAGGCATTTACTCCTATGACAATCTCAGAGTACATGAACACACTGGAGGGACTGTACAGCCAGTGCTTACCTCTGGTCTCTCCCTGTGTGTGTTCACTGCCTCAATATTCAAGCAGATGGATTCAACTTTGCAGCCTTCAAAAGATTAGACAAATATTGCTGAGAATGACAAACCCAATAAAATGAAACCCCACCGTAGCATCTCAAATCAGTGGGCTATTGCTTCAAACAACTTCTCAAGAGATGCAGACTTGGAAAAACTTCTCGAAAATCCAAACATTTGTAAATAGGACGTGTATCTTTTGATTCCTGTGGAACCATTTACAAAAAGAGATTGCTCTTTCATTACATTCTTTATAAGCAGGACAAGGTGAAAACAAAACATAGAAAATAAATAAAAGACTGCAGCTTACCATAAGCAACTGGAGTGAGTTTCAATACTGTATGCAGAGGGCACTTGAGGTAGGGCATCTCATCTGAAATACAGAATTAAAACATTAGTAGCATTGTGCCCATAATTTAGGATTGTGATTGAGAACAATCCCAAATTACAACCATTTACCCAGGCATTTATATGAAAATATTACTTAGTGCAATGCAACGACTAATCATCCCAACAAAATACCTCCTAAATATTTAGAAAGATAAATGACATTGCAAATGTTCAGCACGACAGACTGATGTAGAACTCATTTCCTTTACGCAGTCGTATAGATAAAAGGAAACAACATACCTGCGCTCTTGTCCAGGAAGTAAGCCAGAAGACACCTCATGACAGCTTGATGGCAGACAACCAGCACATTCTCCTGCCTCTCCAACTCCATGATGACAGGCTCCAACCGCTGCACAAGGTCCTGGTAAGACTACAGATATGCAGATAAAGTCCATGGTTAGGCCATCAGGTAAAAAAAAAAAAACAACAAAAAAACAGGAATACTCTTTTATAATTAAGATGAATGAAATGTCTTTTGCATGCTTAAGCACAAAAACGAAAGAGAAGAGGAAGAACAATTTAAAAAGATGCCTACATAACTGCAGGTCATTAGCACCACTGTTCGTAGGGCAATGTTTAAATTAAGGAAAGCATAATGAGTCATTTTAGGCCTAAAAAAAAGACTAAGCCCATTACACCCACACGCTCTTAAATCCAACACTTCCAGAGACTGATGGTCTGGTCAGAGCCTTTTTTTAAAAAATCCATTACCAAAACTATTTTGTTTGTGTAAGAATGGTTCCACTGAGACCTGATAACGTTAAAATGTGCCCTCGACATTTTAAATCCACGAACAAAACAAAAATCCAGCATTGGATGCTTTAGGAGGAAAAGTGATCTATAAACTAACCGAGGATAGGATTTTAAAAATGAAATCTATATATATATATCTCTTTCAAAAGTGCTCCTATCATCATAAATCTGAAACCTAGGCAACACACAAAACAGCTCTTTTACTTTAGTTTGGAAATGATTGGTTAGCATCAATTAGAGACAGAAGCTCTTCAAAACATTAGCCCACCAATCCCCAAATACTGATCCAACCAAATAACACTTCAGTGCTGGAAAAGAAAGCAGGCTTGGCTGTGTAGGAATACCAGCCTTAAGCAGTATCCTTGAACAACCGTCCCACTTACAATTTGTCCTTTTTCACGGACTTCCATTCGTCATACTTTAACATTGTATAGGCACACAACCCCTTCAAAAACGGCACAACTTACAACTGAAAAAGGCATTGCAAAATGAAATGCCACATCAGAGAAAGAAAAAAAAAGACAGAAGAGTAATAAAAAAACACATACCTCTCCTTTTGGATAGCGGTAATAGTATTTGTCCTGATCACGCAAAGCGAATTCCTCAGGGTGCTGCTCTTTAATTTCTTCATAAGTCATTTCCTCACACACGCCCTGCAGCAACAAACATTTAGGAGAGTTAATAAGCAATTCAAGCCACAACTTTCTTTAAAAAGCAAACTTATTTCCCCTTGCGGGGAAAATGTTATTTTGGTTCCATTTCCTACTGAGAAAAACAAAAACTCACAGCATCAATCTCATTAAGAGATTTCCACTGCTCGTATGGGACTCCCAGGGCCTCAGCAGTCTGTATTGCCCTCCTCATCTGGCTTGTCCAAACTCTGAGGTCCTTTAGGTTCTGCTCTTCCAGAAACGTGGACAGTGCTCCAGCAAACTAGACAAAGGTGAGAAGAGGTCAGGATTACTGAAGTGCCAACATGCCGGCATCCAGCACATTCCAGGAATTCTTGCTTGTTCTCCACAAACCACATATTTGTTTCCAGTCTTTAATGATAGCATGCACAAGTCTTACGAATGTTACCTAACTATTTAAGATGTACAAACAAGATCCATATGTTTACTGTAAAGTTGCAGGTGTAACTAATGACAAACTGGGCACTGAAATATACACAGTATGATACTAACCCCATTCAGGCAATGCCGGAGAGGGATCAATACAGTCAATGACCTAGAATCTGAAAAAGGGGTAGGACCCGTTCTGCATTGTTATACTTCTTATTCTATAGGTTAAGGGGTATTAAAACATTTCATCGCAGTCGCACTGCAGGGTTTTGGAAAGTACCTTTTTCCCCCGGACAGACAGGCCCGAGTCGCCGCCAAGCCTGCCCTGAAGGTTGTGCTCACTCTCGCCATGGCGACACAGGTAGATGTGTCGGGGCTGCACATGGATGTTCATCAGATAGTAAACAATTTTACTTTGGATATGGTCCTGGATTCTGTTCACAAGAAACCTCCGTCCAACGTCTATGACTTTGATGAAACAAAGGTCCCTAGGAAGGAAACACAAGCCAGGCATATAAAAAATGTCGACTGTGGTCACAAACCTTTGTATCATTTATGCAGAGTGTAGGTGGACGTGCCAAAAAAAAAAAGTTTTAAATCACGTTTTGAAGAATACATCCATTTTCTAACCACTTTAACCAAATGTAGGGACACAGGGGAGCCGAGGCCTAGCCTGACAAACAGGCTAAGGCAGGATACACTCTGAATGGGATGCCAGTCCATAGCTAGGCACACATTCACACCAGGTCCTTTTTTCCCCACCAAGCCAATCAACCTACAAGTATGTGTTTGAACTTTGGGAGCACCCAGCAAAACCCCATGTGAACACAGGGAGAGCAAACCCCATACAGACAGCAGCCCAGGGATTGAGCCCAGGGACCCTGTACTGTGAGGCAGCAATGCTAGCATCTGCTGCAACTTGAATTGGCCACCTTTAAAATAAGTAAAACACGACTTTGTTCAGAGAAAAACATACATCTGATGTTTGTTAAAGTGTAAGTGTATAAGAATAATGTAACGAAGTTCATACCGGTCATAGTGATCAGGATCCAGAGGCTGATAAGAAGCTCTGTAACATTCGATTCTCTTGAGGAAATCTTCCATGGCATCTGTCCTGTTGCAGTCTTTGTAATCTGGACAAGACACCTTCACTTCCTACAAAGAAAAGGCACAGGTCACATCTACGTAGGTGAAAAGCACAGTAGTTTATGATTTTAGAACATATTTACTGCTGACCTCATTGCTTATAAAATCTACTACACACTGGAGCATTTCCCCCCCACTTGCAACAAACAAAATGAAATTTAATTGGATTGAAGTCATTTTCAGGTCATAAAAGGATAAAGGCTACAAGTTTAAAGCAAAGCACACTCTCCCTCATCGTATTTTGAATTCATCTCGAAGGAGCAGTTCATGTTGAGACTCACCATAATATTTGTCGCAACGACATCAGGGTCTTCACAAACCGATTCAATGAAAAAAATCTGTGGAGAGAAATTATGTAGCTTAGTTTATTCCAAGGATCCATTTGCAAAAAACAATTACAAAACACCTATTTTTCCCCCTCTTAAAAAATTCAGCCATCATCTTTGCCTCTTGCAGTATGATGGGGTCCACATCAGCACTACCCGGCATACATGCTGTCACTATCACACAATGTACAAGTGCTAAAATATGTTTAAATGTACTGGTGAAGACTTCAGAGTAGCGCATCTCTCTAAGCATAACACAATTGATGACCGCACATAGAAATGTGATTTGAATTAAAATCAAGAAAGATTTTTCCCCAATGAAGAGCTAAGAGATTGCCTTGCCTTAAATCCATTCTCACTGCCAAAATGAAGGATCAGGTCTCTCCTGTCCCTCGTGGTGTTGGTGGCATCAAAGACCTACAAGATGAACAGTAAATGAACCTGGCTGAAAGGGCAGACATAAGACGTGCGATTATATCAACACTCTTTGGTCTTAGGAATAACCAAAACAGTTTTGAGACCAAGCCTTAGGCAGTACTTCTTCCATTCAGTATTCTTCGAAAATGCAGAAATCACATCACTATAACCAGATTGCGAAAGTAAAATGGGTTGTTATAAGCAAAGGTTCAGTCAGTCTCTTATGAGAAATCTAGACTTCTTTTTCAGTATGCTACAATTTATTCAGTGTTACTACTGCAGCGAAACCACTGAGACTTACTAAAAGATGCAGCTATCTTTTAATAAAAATAAGACTTTGCAAGCGGTGTGACCAATATACATTTATCCTTGTCACTTTTCAAGAGATTTGTCATCATTCATATACTAACACCACAAAACAAGCTTCCAATTTAAGAAAATGTGACAATAGTACTCTAAAATCAGGTCAAAATTACAATCCACAAATGTTTGTATTGTATACAGGTTCTGAAAAAAATCTGAAAGACTTACAGCGATGTGACCACCTTCTTCAGTAAGGTAGGATTTGACATCTCTTAAAGCAGCTAAGGCACATTGTCTGCGAACAAAAAAAAAAGTTTAAATAATTCCTGATAACAGAACTGCAGCTCAACTGTTCACGAAAAAAAGTTTCAACTCACTGTCGAATTTTCATGGCATCTTGATTATCTGGCCTGAAGAAGTCATAGGAGCTGTAATGTCTGACTGCTTCCCGGCGATACTCCCCAACATTGAACACTGCAGCAAAACAAAAACAAACAAGAGTTTTATCCAGGCAATAAACCACCACAATTGCCTAGAGTTACGACTTGGACAGCTACTCATGACCATGGCAATGATGTTCAGTGTTCATTACAGGGTACCTTTAGTGGGGACTCCGATCCAGTTGAGGTAGCGCGTCAACTTCTTGGAGATGTAGGTCTTCCCTCGAGCAGGCAGGCCAACCATAACAATCACAGTGGGAGAATTGGTTAGACGGGGATCGCCAGCTGTGTTAGAAGAGTACAGAAAAACTGAATTAGTCCTGTAGCCAAGGCAACAGAGAAGCACCTTACATGTCATGCCATAAACATGTCAAACTGCACCTTCACAGAGGGTTTTGAGATTATTTTCGCAAGTCAGCAATACAGGCCAGCATGTTCATAATCCATCTTTAAAAGCATCATTTGGAACTGGCATTGAAGTCTCACATCTACTGAAATCCACAAAACCTGCCCTTAATTAAAAAGGCTTAATACCATCCCTAACACACTCTGGAGATGGAATTTCCTCTACCTCATTTATTATTTAAATAAACACTTAGGTCTATAGTTGTTGGGTCTTCACTTTAGGTCAATCCGGCACCACCAACATCCCTAGCCCATTCCTCACTACAACACGACAGACAAATCTAATCTGAAGCAACTGAAATTGGGTCACTCCCTCCACTGAACACCCTCTCGCAAGCAATCATGTCTAAACCCTCGCTTCACTGACCTCACCCGAGGGAGGAGAGTACAGATCTGTTGTGCACTCAGCAGCCTGTACTAGAAGCATGTGCAGCACCTACACATGGTCGCTGCTCTGCGGCAATAAAAATGACCCCCCCCCAAAGCATGGAATTAAATCTATAATCTGCCTGGAACATCAGATAAGGTGAACCAGAAACAGTGCAAATAAATTGCATCAGTGATGAACAAAAGATAAAAGCAGATACTATTTCACCAGCAGCAGCAGCAGCAGTGGGTTTTTTTAAAAATATATATTTTATTTCCCACTTTAACTTCTTAAGAGGGATAAAAAAAATTGTACTGAATCTAGTAAAATATATTCCAGCCTTCCAGTGTGATGTAAATCAAAGATGTGCCTGGTCAGCACGGGGATAGAGGACCACCAAGGTAATTCAGGACTCTGTTCTAAGCATTGCTGGTGGACCAGTGGGTAACACTTCCATCGAGACCAGACTTTCCAATGTCCCAGTAAGGAGACCAAGGACTCTGTTCACGGGAGGGGTCATCCATAGACTGAGGTATTAAACCAAGCTCCTGGCTAATAGGTCATTCAAAAGCTCCTGGCATCGTCTGTTAGAGGGTGAATGATCACCCCGTATACTGGTTACACTCCCCTAGGGGCTTGTACAATCCAGCCTATTTAATTCAAGAGTGGAAGCAGCTTCCCACTTCTCTCCCTGAACTGCTGGTGATGTCCCAGGGCTGACATAAGGAAAACAGAAGTTACAATTTCTTCATACTGGATTTACTAAATGCTGGTTAATAAACAGTTTGGGGGGGAAAAACACTTTGACTCAGAGACATGAAGTCAGGGAATGAATCTTAGACTTATGTCAAAAGCCCATTACGCCATCGCTACCCTATAGTTAGGGATATCTGCAGATGTCCTAGTCACTACTCTTCCAAGAGGAAAAGTACATGCTGTTTCAAAAGCACAATTCAATTCACATAATTCTTAAAATGAAGAACCTTCTCATGAAGTAATGCGGATCTTCTCGGGACATCTAGTATATAAATAAATGACAATGCATAGCAAAAGCAAGTCAGCAAAAAACAAATCTCATCCAATGTACTTGTCTCATGACCGATTCCTTAAATAGCATCAAGGAGCAATGGGATAGGATATGTGGGTACAGTAATCCCTCTGCGATCTGGCCCGTCTGAGCGCACGAGAAAGGGCACATGATCACCGTCTTGGATTAGACTTCTCAATTGGTATTGACTTAGAAATTAAGCACTTTATAAATGACAATGAACTATCACTACATTAAAAAAAAAACCAATGAATTAGATCAGGTATAAATGCTTTCTCTTACAAACCTAAAAAGAACAGGGAAAAGGGGATCATGTTGCAAGTAAAGAAAACTACATTGCAAAACCTTTTTTACAAAGTTATTACAACGCAGAGGCTGAAGTAATTTTGAGGTCAGAAAGTGACTTGCATCATTGCAGTTTTAGATCAGGTGAAATGCAGTTAAAAGAAAAACTTGATGAAACTCTTTAGCCTTAACTGAACTTTGTTAAGGTACAGGTTACCTGACAAACTGTTTAATACACAGCATCTTCCAGGCTACTGTGTCAAGGTGTTCACATTTTTACATTTGAATATTTCTGTAAGCAACTTTACCATAAAGCCAGCATCACCCACAATTCATAACTTGGAAGATACAAATACTATCCATCGCAATGTGTACAAGTAAAGCATTTTATTTAACAGGATAAAATACAAACGGGAACTGCCATTTCATTTTGATCCAATGTCCTTATTAAAAATGAAGGATGGTGTTGCCAACTAAAACCAAAACCTGCGTTTCGGAAACGGTAGCCGAGTAAGAACAGTTCAATTATGTTGCAAAAGATCTTTTAATATTGGAAGATTCGACACTAAATTGCAATCCCTAAATGGTTTTCTAAACTGGAGTATAATGATAGATCTGCAAGACCGCATTCCTTGCTAGAAAAACCCAACGTCCTTTCACATAAAGGTATAAAAGGAACTTTTTCATGTTATGCGGAAAGCAAATGATAGAAGTTAAAACCACGCAGGATTAAAAACGACTAGTTAATAAGGGGCTGTATTCTAAAAAAAACACCCACGCAACAGAGTCCCTGCTTTACGAAAGCCCCCGTTGCTGACGTCATTTGACCAGCACATTGCGTCCGACTTCTCCCTCTGCTATCTTTCTTTAGAGCAGCCCCGGAGCGCTGAAGAAATCTGCTTATCCCAATCACTGGATGACGAAGCTTCAGCGCAGAACTCCCCCCGTCCCTCTCCCGTGCGCCTGCGCGTCGTTTCCGAGCTTCACCGCTCCATAACGGGAAGCCGGAGTCGCCGTGGTTGCTATAGCAACCCCTTCCAGCTCCGCGTGCAGCGGGATCTGGCTCATCAGAATGCCGGACACAAAGAAGGTGACTAAGCTCGGTCTCGAGCCCCCCCCCCCAACGCCTCGCTCGGCGCGCGGACTCGAGCCCCCGCCCCTTTATGGTAACCGGGAGCCTCTCATGACACGGTGCGGTATTGAAATGTGAATCTAAGCGCTTTCGCAGTATTCACCGTCAGAATGTAAAGCAATATTAATCATCCTAGCGACAACCCTGAACTGTAAGCTTTAGTTAAACGCAGGTACATCATTTCCATGAAGGCCGTTTTTGGGGGGGGAAATTAACGTCCTTAAAGCAGCACAGAGGTTAAACCAAACGAGTTATCCTACATTCCATTATTTATTACTGTGGAAAATACTAGGCACATTTTTCCTGAATGGTCTTGTATCAGTTATATACATGCAACCAAGCAGGACCAACGTTACTTTCATATTCATTGAGCACTTCAAATGTTAATTGTTTTTTTTACCATTTTTACTGTTAACAATCTACACTGCGGTGGTCGATTTGCGACTGTTTGGACAGGGAATTCGTGTATCGCTGTTCTTTAACATCTTAATACAAGCAGGAATGGGTTACAATAGGCTACGTTGTCCCGCCCATTTTTAAACAGAGCCCTGGGCCACATTTTTTTTCCCTCCCCTGCTTCAAATGCAAATACACGTGAGTCACGTTTCGGCTCTCCTTTTTGTGCTTTGTTCGCTACCATTTGTTCAGGAGACCGCGTAATACAAATCACACCCTCACAGTGTCCTTGTAAATGCCCAGATAAAAACGGATTAAAAATGTACGAGTACGAGAGTGCAACGTTTAGATGCCACTTGCAGAGATTCATCGGTTACCGAAACTCGGAATTACATTTAGGTGTAAGTGTCTACCTATAAATGAACTATAAAACACAACGTCACAAAACGCCATCCTTCAGAACCGCCGTCCGCATTACAGAGCTCCGTCTGAACAAGGGGCGGATAGCACCGCTAACAGTGCAACTGCTCACCAAATGAACTAGGTCTTCCCTAAAACTAAAGGAACAATAGGTTTATTCCATACTGAGAAGAGAAGAGAGAAAACACAACGTTTCGGCTGTGAAGCGTTCTTCAGGTCTTCTCTGAATCGCTTTACGGCGGAGACCAAAAATAGGGCTGAGAATGCCACACCGTATCAGAAAGTAAAATCAAATACAGATCAGATCAAAGACGGGGGCAGTCTGCCGTCACGCCTGCCGCAAGCTAAAGTAACGCAAACTAATCATGTGCGCTACTACTTAGCATGCGAGGGAATTCCACATTTATGATACAAGGCCCGACCAAGAGACCAACAAAAAACTGGCGATACGCATTTCATTCTTTAACACAGCAGATGAGAGAACTGCACTTACATCTACGAGGTATAGCTGGTCTATCATCCTTAGAAGGAATCCAGATCTTTTGGAGGCGAGTCTGCTTGAGCTCCTTTGGCATAGCTATGTGGGGGAAAAAAAAAATCCTTTCGAGTTTCTCCTTTAGGATGCCGAGTATAACAAAGCCGAGAGATTTCTTTTTGAAAGAAATTCCAGTGTACGCGGTGACTAGCTTGTTTTTTTAAATAAAAAAAAACGGATCGAGAATTGTAATGTAAAAGGAAATCTAGTTATCGGAACGCCGAAGTAACATTTTTTTTCCTGTAAAGCAGGTAGCTAGTCAGAATATTTCCTGTCTTCTCACGGGTACCGAAATCCGCTCCTAACCAGCGCTTTGTGGCAATTATAAATTGCTCGCTTAAAGAATTTCGTTTGTACCGTTTCACTGAGCTACCTCCCTACGATGCCGGTATCTTAATCTCCCCCACTGTTCCAGATCCCGTATTTAACCTCACAAGCCGGCAGTGCAACGTGACGACCGTGACGCACCACTCAAAGGCGTGGTAACCGGTGTTTTACTAGGGTTTAAAGAGACAAACCATTTTACGCCGCCTTGTGGTAAAATGCAGAATTGCTGAATCACCGAAGGACAAGTCTGATATTGCAGTGACATTTATTGGTGAAAGTAAGCTGTAAATGCGCTACACATAATAATTAAATGGTTACATACATTTAACCCCCTTTGACCGCATCAAGCGGATAAAACCCTGCTTCATTTTAATTTTTGCTTAAACGAAACTAATGCTTTATTGCTTTATTACCGCAAAGGTTTCATTAGAAATAATTATACTTTTGAGAAAGTGTTTAAAAATCACATCATTTTCGATACAATTGCATTTTTAATAAGGTCACATAGATCCTCGTGGTCAGACGACTCCTACTAAGTGGCGTCCAGGCAAATTAAACCTGTCGTTGCGGGAATGCACGTACTTCATGTACGCTGCCTCACAGGAAGTGACATTTGAAATTTTGGAGCCCGAAGTGAAGGGATTCCCAATTGAGTTCCTGGCCTGTCTCGCGGATCGTCCCTTGTGCACGTGCAAATCTGTGCATTCGCACATTGGGGGGGGGAGAGGGGGCATTTTTCCCCCCTTCCACGCTTGAATGATAACGGTGCAAGAAAGCATCATATACCTCCCATCCCGACTTACAGGCTATGCAATAACGTGAATATCAATAATAAGATTTCATCAAAAAAAATCATTTCACGCTTAGACGTTTTCAATTTTATAAAAGAATGAAATCGCTGTAAATGTAGTCCATTCTGATTTAGGTTTTAAAAAAAGAGGTCAAAGGATAGCAATTAGCACAAGGCAAAAATACTGCAGATAAGATTGACAAAAGAGAGACATCAATAACATAAGGAAAGGTGTACTGTAATTTGTTTTAAAAACATATTGACTAGCAGTCCGATTCAGTACTGTACATAACAACTGTTTTCAGCGGATCCCTGCACCCATTAAAAGCACAACCAAACGAGTTTTAAAAGTAAAAGGGAATGATTCATTAGTGTTAAAAATTCATTGAATTTTTAGTACGTTAGAAGTGATCACTGCAGAAACACGAATTTCGAGTCGTTCACGGGCGTGCAGTTCACTAAGGTTCTTTTGATGACAATAGCAATGTAGGCTGAAAAAAGTCTTCATTGCTTATGTCGTCATAAAAGGCCATTTTTAAAATAAATGTGAGCTGGTGCACATGAAATTGAGGCAACCACCATAATATATATGTAAAAAAAACTTTTCCCCAAATATTCAGTATATTAAAGGGGACATATGATCAATTTTGAGATAAAAAAAACCTATGAGTCCTACGAGCGTTTGAGTAACTGAGCTTTCTGCAAATATATCCGCTGGCCAAGAAAACCACGGCAATGCACTGTGGAATGTGGCAGGGAAGCGCACACGTGCTGGCCGTTTCTGGCACCAGCGACAGATTCCGTGGGGGGCGTTCAATTTCAAAACAGCGACGCGTCTTTCCCTACTAGAGAACCGTATCACTGCAAGCTGCTCGTAACTGGGATATCGCAGCCAAAACAGACAGCTGTTGGCTCTGGGCACAGAGCATGGATTTTGGTGACCAATCTAACATTAATTTTCAAAGGCTAAGAGCAATTTGTGTTTAGGAAATCAAGCCTTCTTAGCAGATCTTGAATTATTTACATAGTATTCAAGCACTTGCACATGCATTGCCCTGGTTCATTCTTAAATGCGCACACAATATTTGAAATGTCACATTGTTACTGCAATTGTCAATTCTAATATGCTCGTCTTAGTTTTAATCTACCAGGAATTTCCTTAATAAATGCATAACGTCCCCATCATTCTATTTATTTCCATTCTATTGAATTTAATTCTATTTAATTCTGTTTGTAATGCTAAGACTTCTGGGGTGGGACATTCTTAGCTAGATCACCCCTCAACCTCAACTTTCAGAACAGGCTACAAGCCACAAAGGCTGGAGAACATAGGAAAAGCAAGAACAATCGTTTTATTGTTTATTTGACTCTGTTGCCAAGGAGCAAACCTCTTAACCAGGTCATTGAAAATTGAAAATAACCATTTGTTCTCAATTAACATTCCTGGTTACATAAAGGTGTGTATATACGTCTGTATAGAAAATCCGCTCTCGATTAACTGTTCTAAAGGGGCTGGGGTGACTGGATACAATCGTCTTTAGAATTTTATTCGTAATTTTTTAAAAGAGAGTACGAGAACGGTTACAAAGAAGAGGAGGCCATTCAGTCAATGTAGCCAATTTGGTGGTTAGTAGCCAATAATCTCATTCTGCCATTTCCTGAAGGAAACCAGGGTAAGATAAGATAAAATCACTTTATTGGCCCTATACAATTTCTTGTATTAGGGATTTGTCTTTTGCATACCCCAGCTTGCTCTCCATGAGACACACAGGCAGGGAGAGAGAAGCTTTGGATCAGAGCACAGGGTCAGACATTGAGACGGCACCCCTGGAGCAGTTGGGGTTAAGGGCCTTGCTCAGGGGCAAAACAGAGTAGGATTCTTGCAGGATACGAACTGGCAACCTTCCAGCCACAGGCGCAGATCCTTTCCCACAGAGCCACTGCTGATATGAAGAAACGATGGCCCCAGGTATCATACGGTCTTAATGACTCGACTGCTTGTTGCCCGCTGTAATCCCACAACCCTCTTATTCTATATGAAAGTCACTTGGAGTGACCATTTATATCACTGGTTTGAGTTTCAGTGTTTATTCTGAACAGTACTGTGTTGACTTTGTCAGTGCCTTTGAGGATACTGAATGCTAGTATCAGATTTCCCCTTAGTCTTCTTTGTTCAAGACTAAAAAGATTCAGTTCTTTCAGTTCAGCCTTAGTGTTGGACATTCCTTTAAGCCAGAATGTATCTGGTTTAGTTTCTCCACATTGTAGCAGCACTACAAGATGGTAAGTAACTTGTTTAGAATACATGAGGCCTTATTAGTTCATTATTCACTTGTAACAATTTAATAGATGCAATCTGTAATGTGATCTGAGGTATTTAGATGCACAGTAGCGCTGTGTGTTCATAAACATTTCCCCCCTAGGGACAATAAAAGCTTATCTTATCTTATCTTTAAGCAACTATATCACCCTGCAGCTCACAACTGACAACCCACATAAGATCAGCAGGTGTGAACCTGGGTGGGAGACCTCCTGTGAAAAAATAAGGTTGCTGCTGGAAGAGGTGTTAGTGGGGTCAGTAGGGGGCGCTCACCCTGTGGTCTGTGTGGGTCCTAATGCCCCAGTATAGTGATGGGAACACTATACTGTAAAAATGGCGCTGTCCTTCGGATGAGACATAAAACAGATGTCCTGACTTTCTGTGGTCATTAAAAATCCCAGGACGTTTCTCAAAAGGAGTAGGGGTTTTACCCCGGTGTCCTGGCCAAATATCTTATTGGCCCTTACCAATGATGGCCTCCTAATAATCCCAATCTATAAATTGGCTTCATCACTCTGTTCTCCTCCCCACTGATAGCTGATGTGTGGTGAGCGTTCTGGCACACTATGGCTGCCATTGCATCATCCAGGTAGAGCTGCACATTGCTGGTGGTGGAGAAGAGTCCCCATTATCTGTAAAGAGCTTTGAGTAGAGTGTCCAGAAAAGCACTATATAAGTGTAAGGAATTATTATTATGAACACAACATCCCTGGATTTTAAACTATAAATTTTTGACTATATATCCTCACATTGTGTATGCCTTTTTATGTATTAACCCACAATATCTGAAAAAATTTATTAAAATAAATGTATTTTTCACAAGTTGCTTCTTCTATCTCAGTGTTTCCAATTTTGTATTTATAGTTTATGTTTTTGCTACCTGCATGCAAAACCCTGCACTTGTCTACATTAAACATCATCTGCCAGGTTGTTTTCCCAATGTTGAATTTTATCTAAATCTTTTTGAAGTTCATTTGTAGCTTGTACAGGGTTTGCTCATCCTCCTAATCTAATTTGAAGGCAAATTTATTTAGTTTATTAACTATAACTGAATCTAGATTATTGCTATAAATTAAGAAGAATAGTGGTCCTAGTACAGATCTCTGAGGTACTCCACTAATTCCATCACCGCAATTTGAGTATTCTCGCTTATCTGTACTCTCTATTTTCTATTTATTAAGCTATTTTCAATCTGACCACTGCCTACAGTGGTAATTGGAGAATTAAACTTTCAATAAGGAACTTTATCAAAAGCATTTTAAAATGTAGACCTATTGGTCTATGATTACTTGGTTTGGTTTTGTCATCCTTCCTGTGACTGTGCATCACACAAGCAATTTCACATTCCAAGGGATCTACCCCTCCCTTCAGCAAATGTTGGAAGAGTTGCCTCAATGGCTTTTAAATAACATGTTGTTTCCTTAAGTTCAAATGCTAAGATTACATCAGGCCCTGGGAATTTATACATCTTGAATGCTTCTAGTATCCAAAACACTTCTGCCTCTTCTATGCTAATTGTAGTGAAGAACTTTGTCCTTCCACTGCCTGGGGCTTGTTGCAGAATTCTTCCTTAGTGAGCACCTCAGTGATACATCAGTCATCTTCTATTGGCCAGACCAGACACTGTTTTTGTACCTTTCAAAAACATATGAAAGGTATTGGGTTTTTTCTTAATGATCTTTTTTTAAAAATGTTTTGCAGTCACTAAAGTGCATTTACTTAGAATAATAAAAAATAATGTAGATTTATCACAACAACAACAATAATAATGAAATGCACTGTATAAATCCAATTAATTGCTGATTTAATGAGTTAACATCCAAACATGTCAAATGGACCAAATAGCCTCTTCTTATTTTAAACAATTTATTATTATCTTAGGGTCCAAAAACCTATAATCTGGCCATGGACACTGAGATCTACATCAACATGTCAAAGTCATCTTGCAAATCATTTCATGTAGATCGAAGACTGTGGCTGGACATACAAAGCAACAGTAGAT